GGATGCAATCCTTGCCCAGGCTAAAAACCAAAATCAAGTTTCACCCAAGCAAAGACAGCAGAATCAGAGACAAAGTGCTCGTAGAGCTCTACCTTTGAATAAGAATCCAGATAAGGAGTACACTGTTGCAAGGCTATATCAAGTAGCGGTTCTAAAAGGGGGGGGGGAGGGGCAAGTGGGGCACTAGCTATAAGTGCTGATTTAGAAGGGGTGCCAGAATGGTGACCCCTGGGGAGTCTGTACCACTGGGCTGCTACAGCAACAGCCAGCAATGGTGCGCAGGGAGCCTGTATTGTGTCAGGTAAGACTCTGTCCTGCCAACCCCCAGCCCATTCTGCTCAGGGCACCAAAGAAGCTTACTCTGCCTCTGGCCACTCTTGTTTATTTCTAACCAGGACTTTGGAGATACTGAAGGAAGAGTTTGACCTTGGAAATTCCATCCCATGTTCTATACCAAGCCTGGTATGTGCTGTACCATATACTTGCTGGATGAGGACTTTGGAAGATTCGTCAGCATTGTAGGAATCTGCCTGCAGTGCAGACATGCTTAATAAAGCTACTGCAGTGTCAGCTTTAAAATGCTTCGATTTAAGAAATGCTGGCTCATTTGGGTCAGAAATGGCAGTTACCATATGGCAGACATGCTGAACAGCAGCAATGTGCACATCTTCATTCTTGTAGAAGTACTGCACTTCCAAACCCCCAACTTCTGCTAAAGCGGGGGCAGGCAAAATACAGCCTGCCAGGCCTATTCCATCTGGCCCACAGGGACCCAAATATAAATTTTCTAAACTTTTTACAAATCTGCTCCTAGCTGCCCATCAAAGATGACAGGGGCCAGGGGCAGCAGGATCCAAGGGAAGCTGGCAAGACTCAGAAGCAGGGCCAGCTCAGACCTGCCCCCTCACCCCCAACCAGAAACCTCTGCCTACTACAGCTTTCACTGCTTCCCTGCATGCCTGCCAGCTGCTCCAGCACCACATCCTGGATGCATCACTGGACTGCAGGAGCATGCATACTAGTAACCTAGGGCTAGGAGTGGAAGTGCATGTGTGCAGGTGTCCCTGCAATGAGGGAGGGGTAGACAGAGAAAGTGAGAGCAATGAGAGAGAGAGTGTGCATGCATATGTGCATGTTCATACACCAAGTCCCACATGCACACCCCACCATACACATGCACCCACACACCCTCTTCATACTGACATATATGCAGACCCCCCACACCCATGTCTCCTCACACCCCCCAGCTACCCTCCTTCCCCCACAAGCCCCATACCCACCCACACATGCTCCCCCACCCCAACGACCCACACACCAACAGCTCCCCACAAGCCTATACCCACCCACCATGCCTCCCACCCCACCACAATATACAAGAGTAAGACTTCATTTTTAACTATTGTGCAATCACCTCCATGTATACTACACAGAAAAATGGAGTGTTTGAGCAGGAACAGGAACATTCCCCCCCTCCCAGGGAATCCAGACGGACCCAAGGGAGACGCAGTCAGGCCCAGGGTCAGCGAGGACCTAGGTCAGGGAACTTCTGGAGGGTCCAGACATGCTCAAATCAGCAGGTCCCAATGATCTCCACCCCAGAGTCCTAAGGGAACTGGCAGAGGTCATCATGGGACCTCTGCACAGCTTTATGAGCACTCATGGTGCTCTGATGAGGTGTCAGAGGACTAGAAAAGGGCCAGTGTGGTCCCCACTTCCAAAAAGGAGGAGGAAAGAGGACCCAGGAAACTATAGGCCCATTAGTCTTACCTCGATCCTGGGGAAGCTCTTTGAGAAGGTTATCCAGGAGCAAATCTGCAAGGGACCAGCAGGGGAGATTATGCTTAGAGGCAATCAACATGGGTTTATTAGAGGCAGGTCCTGTCAGACCAACCTGGCTGCCTTCTACGACCAAGTCACAAAAGCCCTGGAGGCAGGCATCATGGTGGACGTAATCTTTCTGAACTTTAGGAATGCCTTCAACGCAGTCTCTCATCCCATCCTCATTAAAAGTGAAAAGAAATTAGGCGACTGTGGTGTCGACACCTACACAGTCAGATGGGTCGCAAACTGGCTGGAGGGCCACACCCAGAGAGTGGTGGTGGACAGGTCATTTTTGACCTGGAGGGACATGGGCAGTGGGATTCCCCAGGGCTGTCCTCAGGCCTCCACTGCTCAATATCTTCATCAGCAACTTGGACAAGGGGGTGAAAAGCACCTTGTTCAAGTCTGCAGAGGACACTAAGATGTGGGGAGAAGTGAGCATGCTAGAAGAGAGGGACAGGCTATAACTAGATCTAAACAGGTTAGCAGTGGATGGATGAGAACAGCATGCATTTCAATATGGACAAGTGCAAGGTATTGCACCTGGGGAGGAAAAACTAGCAGCATACCTACAGGCTGGTGAACTCCCTTCTCATCAGCACAGAGGTAGAAAAGGATCTTGGAGTCATTATTGATTCCCAGATGAACACGAGCCACCAATGTGAGGATGCAGTCAGGAAGGCTAACCATACCTTGCCATCCATCCATAGATGCATTACAAGCAGGTCCAAGGAAGTGATCCTCCCCCTCTATGTGACATTGGTCAGGCCACAGTTGGAGTACTGCATCCAGTTCTGGGCACTGCACTTCAGGAGGGATGTGGATAGCATAGAGAGGGTCCAGAGGAGGGCCACCTGCATGATCAGGGGCAGCAGGGTAGGCCCTATGAGAGGCTACAGGACTTGAAACTGTTCAGCCTACACAAAAGAAGGCTGAGAGGGGATCTGGTGGCCAGCTACAGACTTGCCAAGGGGGACCAGCAGGCAATGGGAGAGTCCCTGTTCCTCTGAGTACTACTGGGAGTTACAAGGAATAATGGCCATAAGCTGACCAAGAGTAGGTGTAGGCTAGACATCAGGAGGCACTACTTCACAGTCAGGGCAGCTAGGAGCTGGAACCAATTCCACCAGTTCCCCAGGGTAGGGGTGAGCCTAGGAATCTTCAAAAGGAGGCTAGACAAATCACCTAGCCGGGGTTGTTTGACCCCCAGCACTCGGGGTCGTTTGACCCCCACATTCTTTCCTATGGCAGGGGGTCAGACTTGATGACCTGCTCAGATCCCTTCCAACCCTACCAACTATGAAACTATATGTAAGCCAAGATATTTGAATAATAAAATTAAAGTTGTAGACATTCAATGTTTAGAACATAATTTAGTCTTTTTCTGGTTCCGAGATGGCAAAACCCCTTGCTGAAAGGAGTACTTCTGGGGCCAAGGGGAGAGACTTCTGGTCACAAGATTGCAACTAGGGGGCAGGGCACCTGTCAAGGAGTGGGGCTACCGATGCAACGCTCAACAGCTTGCCAAACTTTGGTAAGCAGCCTTCTGCCCAAAATAATTGCCTGCTTCTGTGGTAGAGGGAATGCTTTAGAATCTAGTTTTGGGCATGCTCAGTGAGGGGGGCACCAAGAGAGCAGCCAATCTGCTTCTCCTGCCTTTCACTCAGAGCCTTCTGTTATGTTGTTCTCATATTAAGATACATACTCTAGTGCAGGAGTGCTCAACCTCCAGCCTGCAGAACAAATGCAGCCCAGGGAGCTTTGGGATCTTGCCTATAGGGCTCCCCATGGATCAGGAATTTTGGCAGTGGGGCAGCAGTGTCAGTTAATACTGCAACCCCTACCTGCTGCCAAAATCTCAAGTCCCATCCAGTGGATCAGAGCTGGATCATGACCCTCCCCACCCTTACTAAATCAAAGTCAGGTCACACCCCCTTCCATATGCTGCCAAGTTCAAGCTAGGTTACTTCCCCAGGATTGGGCCACATCCGCTCCACTATGGAGCTAGATCCAGGATGGGTCTGCCCTCTATTCCCCTGCTGGGCCAGGTTGGGGCCAAGCCAAGCCACCTTTCCCTGCACAGCTGGAATAGGAGGGGCTTGTGGGGGAAGCAGCCTAGCCCATGCTTCTCAGTGGGGCCTCACTATACACACCCCAGATACCAGATTGGGTTCACCAGCCACATCTGTCCCACAGAGGGTCCAGGCACTACCCATCTGGCCCTGGTAACAAGTGGGCATCCCAGAGCAGGTCTAAACATAGGCCCACCTGCTAGTCTTGGGGCCAGCTTCCAGCCTCCTCACTTGCCATGCCTTGATGTTACTAATTATCTCATGTTAAATCAGGTGGGAGGCTGTCCATTAATCTGCCCTGATAATAAGGGCCTATGTTTAGGACTCCAACCTCCCCTTATATCCCAAGCCTCACAGATGTTTCCTCCAGCTATCTAGTACTGGGACCTGAGCTCCGGACTCCCACACAGGACTCTTGCTCCCCAGCAGAGCTCAGTCCCGGCACCCTCACCCTGGCTCATTGGCAATGCATAGGGGTGCACATGGATCCAATGGTGCTGGCTGTGCCTGTGGGTGGTCGCCACTTACCACCCTCCCTCCCCCCCTACAGCCTTTGCAGGTGGTTGCCAACCACTGGTCAGTATTCACCACCCCTCCCAGCCACTGACACTGCTGAGGCTGTACTGTGGGCCCCAGGCCTCATACACTGGGCTCCAACCCCACACTCAGGGTTCAAACCGCTTCTCTGGGATCAGAGCTCTCAGCCCTATCCCCAAGCCCTCCCTGAGCTATCCCCTTATCCCTGGAGCTTCCTTAATAGCTCCCCAAGGCTTAGGGCCTCACCCTCCTGGAGCTTGATGCTGGCTCCTATATGTAGCCTCAGACCTTCACCAGGAGTCTGGGCACTGGCACAGATCCCTCCACCAACCTGGGCCCTGCCTCCATACTCTCAGCAAGTCTGGGCTCCCCCTGCTTGATCACACCCACCAGGGATGTGGGGCTGGCATTAGAAGGTGCCCCACACTCACCTGTCACCAGGGCTGTAACTGGCCTTGCATTTCTGGGGGACTGTCCTACCACAAACAGACCCACCCCTGGTAGGGTGCAGTTTTCAGTCATATCCAGGACCACAGGGTCTCCTTCTTCCCCATAATCCCAGCTTTTTACCTCCAAGATGGTACTTTGAGCAACAGCCAGATGGTGTTCTCCACAGCTACTGGCAGCAAACAACCACCTCTTTGTAGTTGTTCAGGGCTCTGCTCTTATAGAGCACAGCTGTGCCCTGCTCCCAATCAGGCAACTGCCTAATTGGCATTGCAGGCAGCTGCAGGCTGCCTAACTGCCACTCAGGCCCCTGCAGACAAAAAGGTTGAGCACCACTGCTCTAGTGCCTTGGGTTGTCTTTTTATTGCTTCATCTTGGTTTCTTTACCTCTTAAACGTCACTAGGCAGCAAATGTCTCTTCAGAGGGCATGAAATGTCCCTAGTCTTACAAAAACATTTCATTGTAGTCAGGTGCAATGACAGTTGGGTTGGGATACATAGGGCTTCCTTCCCCTGGTGAGCATCAAATTGCTTATTTGCCTACTGATGTCACCATGCTCTGTTTGCAATACATGACTCTTCAAATCGCTTCACCTGTTTATTACTGAGGAGCTTGCCACCCTGCCTATGAGGCCCACACACAATTCTGGAGGGAAGTTTTTGCCATGTGTCTTGTCTTCAAAAACCTCTTATGGTTCACTCTAGTTAATGTCCCTCTCTTATTTCTGGGCTTCATCCATATGCTTGAGCAAAGTCAAAACTCAGGTTTACTGCCTTTATCTTTTTCTACCAGGCCCTCTGCAAAAGCTGTTTCTTCAGAGGCTTAAATTCTAGCCCAGCTCGCCCCACTTTTCTTAGCGTACTGAAAAAGCTTTGCTTCCTAAAATAGTTAATACAAGCACTGTAGAACTAAGCTGACACATACTCTGTTGTAATATTCAGTCCCATTCACATTGTTTCCTCCTTGTTTCTGTGTTGCCTCATGTAAATTGTAAGATCCTTGAGGCAGGCAATTTCTCTTAATGTCTAGGGCACCTAGAATATTGTTAACATTATATGAAAAAACAAATGGGTGGAAACTTTCCACAGAAAAATAAAAGCCATGATTTACTTGGAAAAAAGGACAAATCTAAAACCCACAGAAAATCCAAATGGCTGACTGATCCCATGGCTAGCCCCTTTCAGCACTATTAACATATGTACTGGTTTGTCAGCCACCTGATTTGTATTTTCACATGTTGTATGGGCTTTGTACAGGCTTGTACTTCAGCACATCATTCTTGCATAAGATGCCACTATCATTTTATTTTTCAGCACACAGTACGGTGCAATATAATTAGGTAACTACTTGGGGTACAGATCTTGCTCTGAGCAAAACACTTAGAGTGAAGTACAAGATATTCTGGAGGCAATATATTAACAAAATAGTGCCTATTAAAAATCCATTCATTTAGTAATACTCAGTAGCTTACTGTACCTGCACGTTTCTTGCTATTGAGCTTTAATAATGCATTTCACCCATTGCATTTCAACTCCATGGGACAATTTTGTACCTGCTACCCAGCTTCAGTAGAATTGTAGCTATTTTCAGCAGTCCTGAAAGCTCACAGGCTAACTTTTCCCTTTAACCATAGTACTGAAGTAGAGATGACGTGGAGCAGACACCTCCTTATAGTCAGCTGACCTCCAGTTACAACTAGTTGCCAAAACTACTGTTCTAAATGGTATGTTTACTAGTCCTGAGGGAGACAGAGGTGGTAGGAAATGTTTTGTTTGATTTGCGGCTGTGTAAGACTGTAGCAAAACCCCCAGTTTTTCTTTTTTTATTTGATTTAAAATGCATTCCCTCCCCTTCCCCAACCATTTCTGACTTTTTCTTTCCCTCTCTATTTCTATAAGATATAAGATAAGCTTTAACAATTTATTTTGGGTAGTAAGTTTTATTTTTCTCTCCTCTCTTTGCAAATAAGTTCCCTGATATTTTGATATCGATACCACTGTTTTATAAGTAATAATTATTATGTTTGTACTGCTTTTATATTGTGTGATTACTGTTTTAAGACTATATACGTAAGTTAGCATAAGTCACATCAAGTTTCCATTTTGTATGTCAAGCCTCCATCTTGTGTCCTCTGCCTGGGCATCCCCTGTGTTGCAACTGTGTGATTTATGTACCCCTCCCATGTAAATTGGTTCTCAGATGAATGAGAGTGATTGGGAATGATTGAAATACAATGGTAGCAGGCCTCTACTGAATGGCCTGTAACGACCAGGCCATTGATTCATCCAGGAACCACGGACCTCACCCAGGAACAGAGACAAGAACCCAGCATTTGAAAGACAAAAGCCCCTGCAGAACCAGCAACTCTACCATTGTACCCCACCATTACAGACACCCGAAACTGCACATCCCTGCATGGAGCACACGTGCTCAGTACACCAGGGGCTGACCCTTGCCTGGGCATGCCTCCTGTCACTAGGGTCACACAAGGTCTGCCCCTATAAAAAGGGGCAGTGAAGACAGACCCAGTGGGATGCCCTCTCCATCTGGACCAGCACTATGCCACACCACCTACCCACCCAAAGGCTCTGCTGGTGACCCCCCTCTGGACAACACCTACCGGACAAGGACCCCTTTCCAGCCTGGATAGGTAGCTATCACCCCCCCACCCCCTCTTCAACCAAGGACTTGGACTCTGCTTCTCTTCCCTACCTGGACTCCAACCCTTCCACTGAGTCTCTTTCTCCTGCTGCCATTGTGAGTGTTTGTGTGTGTGTGCGTGAACCAATAACTTCATGGGGCTGTGAGTGTATTGTCTGTGTAATAAAACTTTTATTTGGACCTCTAAGTTGGGTTTTGCTTTACTATGGTTTGGCTCTGCTTCAGTCTCTGCACCTCACCCCTCTAACTTCTGTCTCATTTCTCCCTCTCCTGCTTCTGGCTCACTGCCACCTCCAACGCCTGTCCTGAGCTCTTCTCTGCCTCCAAACCCTCTGTTTCTTTGCCACTGTCTTTTTCTTTTTCCCTGAGCAACCAGGTTTCTGCCTCAGTTTCTTTCCTGGCTGTCTCCTCCTTGCCACCACTTATCTGCCTCCCCCAATATCTCAACTGTCTGCCTCAGTCTCCAGCCCCAGTCTACCTTAAATAAACCCAAGCCTCAGTTCCTCAGCTAGCTTCTCTGTAGTCCACCGGTTCTAATCCTGGTTCTGGCAACTTTCACTCCCTACACTTCAACTCTCTCTCTCACCTGAACCTTCCCCCAAGAATCCCAGGTACCCCAAGCGCACACGTATACACTGTACCATCCAAGTTAGGAACCTACCTGTATGTATGTGTAGGTGGGTTGTATGTGTGTGAACTGGTGTGTGCGTGTGTGTGTATATATATGTCATTGTGTGCATGATATATGAATTGTCTAACTTTTGGGGTATATAGTGTATGTGCTTGAATTGGTGATGGGTATGCATGTGCCTAGGCTGGTTTGGATGTGTATGTGCATGAGCTGATAGTGTGTGTGTGTATGCACCTAATTGATTTGTGTGTTTGTATATGTGCAATTGTGTCACACCCCCCTGTCTAACAGCACAATATTGAGATCCTGAGAGTTGGCCTGACCCCACAGGGTAACAAGACTAATGGACTGATTGCAAAGCAGTAGGATTTCTAGCTTTTCTCTTAACTGATGTACATTTTCCCTTCCAGCAATGAGTGAAGATCTATCATTAAACCAGTGCTGTGTAGCTCTTAAGGGCAAATAACTGTAAAGATACTAAGGAAATGTATGTTTATTATCATTTCTATTTTGGCAGAAGTCCAAGCTAAGATCAGAGTTCCATTGGGCTAAGTAAGATGCAACAATAAGGGACAAGCACTGCCATAGAGACCTTACAGTTTAAATAGACAAAATATGAGAAGTGAAATAATTAGTTTAAAGTTGCCGTGCAGGTCTCCTAATCTTTGTCAGAGGCCCTGGTTTGGTGTTCATGCTTCCTGTAAGGTCTCAAGGTCTAGTTGTTTTGCACTCTACAGTCACATTCACATGACTGTGCATGTTTGTTTCCCTGGGGACAACTAGCAGCAGGACACCTTATGCCGCTGCTACTTGTCCCCAGGGAATGCCTGTGCCACATGGCCTCTGGTGCACTGCAAGTTACTCTGTGTGGGGTAGAGGAGGCTGGGGCCAGCACTTGGCTGGCCCCAGCAGCCTTACCTTGAGTCCTGGGGGCCTTCTGGGGTTACAGGAGTGGCAATCCTGCTGCTTGTAGCCCAGCCAGCAGCCTGAGTTTGGCTCAGGCCGGCCAGGCTATGGTTTTGGGCAGCGCGTGCTGTCCCCGCATGTGCCGCCCCACTTTTTTTGCGTGGGTTTCTTTGATCCCAGGATCTCCCAGGGTCAAACCTCCTCCTCCCACCCCTCCATCCCTCCATCCCCCATGCTGCTACTGTGCAAGATGGAGAACACCTGCATGTGTGGTATGTGGGGTTGAAGACGTGTCTGCAGCACCACATTGCAGACGGGCAGACTCATCTGGACATGGCCTAAGCGGGACATGCACATTTTCAAAGAAGGCTCTTCCAACTTTCAGTAGAGCTTTTCCAGCTGCATCTAAACCAAACATAGAATGACAAGGACCAAATTAGTAAGATTAACAAAGCACAAGACAGAGAATATTGCAAAAGTCTTCCTTTCACAGATGTTCTTCAGAGATGTGAGACATCATAATAAAAGATTATGTCCAAACCTCTGGAGCAGGTGGTATGTTTTACATACTTAGAGATGGAGAGAGACAATAGTACCACAGTAGAAGTATCTGTGTACATGCACCCTGACAATGGTAAAGACATAGGAAGAAGTAAAAAAATTGTGTGAAGTGCTAAAATGAGGATCCAACACACATTGGCCTCCCCCTAATGACTGGCAAACTAGAAGGAGTATTCTCATGGAGTTCCCTCCATGATTCCAACACATCCCTGCAGGTATACAGGAAAAGGACTCGAAGGGCCATTAAGATTAAGGAGTTTATCACAGTGCAGCAATACTTAATTCAGAAGTCTCAGTGATACCAACCAATCATCGTGGTTTGGAAAGAACATTACAAATAAGCTATGAACAGTAATCATTTGTGACCAGCAATACCTTTCCACTTACTTGCAAGTCTGAAAATACCCAACCAATTTAGGAGAGAAAT